CTGATGAACTCTGAAAGGATGTCCACTGCCCTAGATAATCACAGAAGTTATATATTGTGGCAATTCTAGGGATGGAATTTCAGAAGCAATATAGGATAGGTGGCATGGTCATGTGCCCAGCAATGCCCGTGATGCCCTTCCATCTCAGTTCATTGCAGTGCTGGGTTTTGAGCTCTTGAAACAAGACAGAAAGTCTGACCATGCTTATACATTTCTACATTTTTTCCCCACTGATTTCAGCAGGAGCAGGATCAAGCTCTACAGGAGTTTGGGAGTGCTCTCCCAACTTGCCACTTGAATTCTTTATTGAGATTCAGCTAAAAGCAGCAACAATGAAAGGCTTCTTTTGCAACAATTCTCCACAACTGGGAATTTACTGTCAGAGTTCAGGACGAATAGGGTGATGAGTCTATCCATTTAATCAACATGGATCATGTGTAACTCATAGGGGTGAGGCCACCACCTGGAGGCTGGTCAGATACAGCACTCCCTGATACCCAATATAATCAGTGATTACGTAGCACTGAGGTGGAGCAACTCTGTGTGTACTTTTTAAAATGGATCACCATTTACTGTCAACATACCAGGCTTCACTGTTTAAATGACTGCATAAATGTTAAAAGGGTTTGATGGTTATTTTTTAATATGGTGCTTATTTTTAGACCTGAAAGTCATTGTTAATAGATCTTCATCTGAGCTTTGGCAAGTCACTTCACCGACCTGTACATCAGTTTCCCCATCTATAAAATGGGAATAATGATGCAGACCTCCTCTGTAAAGCACTTTGAGAGCTATTAAAAGCTCTATATAAGATCTAGGGATTGTTATAATAAAACATTCACAAAAGGAGGGGCATTGCCAATTATTTCTAAAGTCATCACGTACCATCTACTTTTATTTGTAAAAATCATCTTGGAAACTTGAAACTGAAACCTGCTTCTTTACTAGCTTTTGCCCTACATTGTGGGGATGTGGACTAATGTGTTATTGTACTTTTCACTGTAGGAGCTGGACAGATGTCACTGATTTTATATTTTAATCATTTAAATTGTGGAGAAAAAATATAGTGGGGTTTAATGGGGGCACACACACAACACACAAGTGACATTCACAGCAGCGATTCAAGTTAGAAAAAGAGCATTGTCAACACTCCCCACCCAGCTTCCTACTGTTATTACTACCTATACAAGCCCCAACTTGGCCCCCAATCCTACAAACTTTACACACATGAACAGTCTCAATGGGATTACTCACCTTTGTGCTTCAGGGTTTCAGCCAGACACCTACAGGGATCAGGAAGGGATTACCTCCCCCCCCACCCCCCCATGAAGTCTGGATATGTTTGGGGGGGTTTAAAACTCCTTCCTCTGAAGGCCACACAGCTGGAAATGGGGTACTGGATGGGGTGAGCCAGGGCTCTGAGGTGTTGTCACCAAGCATTCTCTCTCTCAGGTGCTTGGTGGGCTGGTTCTTGCTCACATGTTCAGGGTCTAACTCATCACCCTGTGTGGGGTTGGAAAGGAATTTTCCCCCAGGTCAGACTAGCAGTCACCTTAGGGGTTTTTTGCCTTCCTCTGAAGCCATTGGGTGCAGGTCACTTACCAAAATTATCTGGGTCTCTCTAACTTAATCATTTCCCTGCCACTGCAGAGGCGTTGGACACTGGTGCACCTTGCTCCCTCCCATTCTCTGCCTGTAGCACATAATAGTCTAATCTCCCATGGGCAATAAAACTTTGACCTCATTTTAGTGGTTAGGTTTAGTTGTGTGGGTGCTGGGTGGTGTTTGCAGACTGTGATACACAGGAGGTCAGACTAGATGAGCTGGTGTCCCTTCTGGCCTTAAACTCTATGACGCTATAAGAAGAAAGCACAAGTGCCTACAGGATCAGAATCTTAGGGCCTGATTCAGCAAGGTACATAAGCATGTGCAGAACTTTTAAGTGTGTCAGGAGCCCTATTGACTTCAATGGGATTACTCACCTGCTTAAAGTTAGCAACATACTTAAGTCCCTTGCCGAATCATGGCATCAATGGGGAAATTCAGCAATTTCCCTGAAAATGCCAAGCACTGGTGCTTTACAAATAATCATAATACAAATATAAGTATTTTGTAGGCACAAACCTAGGGTGGGATTTTCAATGGGACTTGAGCACCTAACTCCTTTAGGTTCCTTTCTAAACCCCAAACACAAATCACCAACATCCTATACGCAGGCACAAAATTCAGTTTCCTAGGTGCCCTTTTTATGGAAGATTTCACATCCCAGAAGGAAGAATATTGTTGTTCTTATCCTCCTCACTTTTTACCTGAGGACACATAACCCAGTAAATTAAATCTGATACACACAAGAGCTTGCATACAGATGCATTTTAGTATAAAAAAATACAGCCCTTATGTTTGACTTTTAAATAATTTCTGCCTTGTAATACTGACTGTTTGTATTGCTTCTAGGTAACAATATAGCCGACTACTCCGATGTGTCTCCTTAAAGGGTTAGTGGCAGAATGATCAATGGGCAAACTTCCATATAAATTAAAAAAATTGATGATGTAGCCACAGTTATCTGCATATTTCTAAATGACCATCAGGAAAAGTAGCAGGGAAGAGGAATTCAAATGCTTAGGGAAGTCTCTCTCAGATTTCTTCTCAGAGAGCTGCTGGCTGAGAAAGCAGTGATAAATACCAGTCATCTTCATCTCTCAGTTCCAAGTGAATTTACTAGTAAAGATGGAAAGTGATGCCGGTCTCCTAAACATACAAGAGATGGAGGGTTCTGCTCAGTTTTAAGAGTGCCACAAAACTGTTCAACAGCTTTGAAATAAGCTTCTTCTCATGCTTACGAGAATCTCTGTCACACTCTCCTCACAATCAGTTTTTTTTAAACCAATCCCCTCATTGGGGTTCTCATAAAATTATGAAGATTTCTTTCCCTACATGTTTAAATCGGCCACGAATATTTTCTCAATAAATATTATAAGGCAAATCCTGAGGTACTCACTCAGGTACAGAGGTCAATGGAAGTTTCTCCTGAGTATGAACTGAGTAAAAAGCTTCAGGATTTGGCCCTTTTACAGGGCCTGATGCAAAGCCCATTGAAGTAAGTGAGAGTCATTCCACTGACTGCAATGGGCTTCAGACCTGTCCCACAGTGAGCATTTTTAACCACAGCAGATTCTATATTTTAAGTCAAGTATTAAGCAGTGCAGCTCCTACCCGTTAGACCGTATCTTTGGGAAGGCACAGCTCCTCTATCAGGTTTAACGTCCATTGACTTAAAATTTCTCCCTTTAAACCAACCTAGCTGTTTTCTTCTCTGAACCAGACTTCGTTTCTCAGATTGATCAGCTTGCCCAAAGAGAAACATGCTGCATCCTGGGACACGAAGGGTCAAAATCTCAGCGATGTCTGTAGAATTTTTTTTTTAAAAGCACAACACCAATGCTTAACTTTACAGCAAAACTATTAAGATTTGATTTAATTGAATGAGGCCAATGTAGTAAAAACCACTGACATGACAATGGAAGGATCAGAGTCCACATCCTATCCACACTAAATGCCACTATGATGACCCACCATTCTAGTGCCACTCTGATCCCTTACTATATTTCCATAGTCTACAAGATCATAAGCAGCAATGGTAGCAAAAAGATTAGAATCTCTAACCTCACAGAGACTTCCTACACCAGGATTAAAGGTCCCCAGTTCAGTGTGCCCTGAAGGGGCCATGCACACTGTTTATTTTTTGTCCAAGTGGTCTGAAGGCATCTACTCAGGATTATTTGCTTTCACTTCAAATTATTGCTTTTATGGTGGTTCTGTTTTAACTTTGGATATTTAGATTATGCATTCAGTGACTCTGTTAAGGATAGCCTAAAGCAAAAATGAAAGGCTTGTTTGTACAGTAGTTTAAATAATGCTTATATTGTTATCACAAAAGCTTTCCTATAGATGTATAACAGACAACACAGTGGTTACATTTGGATTTTTCACTGGGATTTTAGAGTAATAAAAAAAGTGCATAAAGTCTGCAGTTTGGAATCCACTTACATTGATTGTATATGCTCTACTTAAACAAATGTGTATCTTGTGTCTGCAAAGTCACTTGACATTCCCCTCAGCTTTGTTTCTTTCAGGTCAGAAACCCAGCTCTATCTGAAGTGTCCACTCTAGCTGTGACACACAAAGGAAGAGTTTGAGTCTCAATTGAAACACCTTGATCCCCAGGCCTTCAGGGACTGAAACTGCTGCAGGAGAAGGATCACTGTCAAGTCAGCAGCATAACGTCACATGACAAATCACATGTGATGAATGCAAATATTGTTCAGTGTATTTCAGAAAGGAGCTCAGATATTAAAGTGATGAGGGACAGTACAAGAACCTGAATAGAACAGAATATTTTCACCCCAAAGAGTCCCAAAAGTGCTTTGCAAGCAAGCTACTCTGTCTAATGCAAAGAATGTCATGGGAAGCATTGCTGACCACAAGAGGCCAGGGCTTTGACACCCAGCATGGAGTTGTATGGCTGTGAAAGCCAAATTTATCTAACCCCATTTTGGTTCAGGTCCCTGTTCAGGAAAGCATTTAAGCATATGCTTAATGCACATGCTAGAATTTAAAGTGGTGTAAACTGGTCATGTTAAAGCCTAGGGGAAGTTGAAATATGTACCTTTAAACCCTACTCTAGATGAGGCCAGAGACAGAATTTAAGGAATAATATCATCCTTGCTCTTCATCAATCCCAACAGCTTCCACTTACTTTGAAAAAAGAAAAGGAGGACTTGTGGCACCTTAGAGATTAACCAATTTATTTGAGCATGAGCTTTCGTGAGCTACAGCTCACTTCATCGGATGCATACCGTGGAAACTGCCACGTGCTAAGGAGCCACAAGTACTCCTTTTCTTTTTGCGAATACAGACTAACATGGCTGCTACTCTGAAACCTGTCACTTACTTTGAGCCACTTTTCCACATTCCTCCAAGCCTACATTCAAAAGAGGCTAGATAGGAACTAGGTCCACTGCTCCAAGGCAAGGATGGATTCCTTCCTGGATAGCCATATCAATTGGCTGTAAAGCCTCAGCGCAGGCAGCAATGACAGTTGCCTAACAAATGCAAAATAGACAATTAGGGATCAGTCAAACCTGAATAAAGCACTGAGGGTTAGTTCACTGAGGTTCGCAAAAAAGAAAAGGAGTACTTGTGGCACCTTAGAGACTAACCAATTTATTTGTTAGTCTCTAAGGTGCCACAAGTACTCCTTTTCTTTTTGCGAATACAGACTAACACGGCTGTTCCTCTGAAAACGGTTCACTGAGGTTCTGTTCCTAGTCACAGGAAGGGATTCTATTTGAAAACACAACTAATTTGAAACCAAACAAGAGAGACAGGAAAGTTAAAATTACACAGCTTCTTGCTCCAGGACTAAAGTGGTGCAGATAATCTCTTTCTAATTCACTTTAGACATTAATAGCACCATTCCCTCCCCCCCCAATCTTAGAAGAGATGTGTTGACAAAATTTCAAGGTCCTGTAACTCTTAGAAGTGTGCCTACCCCAAGAAAGCTGTGCATTAAACACAGAAATGGACTAAAGAACATTTGAAAGGAAATAAAAATATCACAAGGCAATTAATTTTGTATCCTGCTGTCTGATTTCAGGCCAAACTCAGTAACAGTTTATTTTACTGAAGTACTGAATGCTAAAAATGTGTAATATTTGCTGGGGCTCTTCATATTCTCATTCTGTTTTCTACTCAATACACTGTTTTCACTTACATGTCAAATATCTGGATAGCACCTTTTTAAGGGGGAAAAGGGAGTCTTATTTTATTTCTCCATCATGTTTAAAAACAAAATTAAAAAACACATAAAGGGTACTGTGTGACAATGTACTTACTTATCGCATCATTTATTAAAAAAACATAGCACTTAATGGAGGAAATTTATAGGTAAGAGGATAAATCTAATATTGGCCAGAATGTGTATATTATGTGGGCAAAGAAATGTATTCTCCTCAAAATAATCTTATCTATGCAAAATAAAAACCCAGAAGCATTTTCTTGTTAAGGAAACTGTTAAATGGGAATTATCAATTGATGTATTTGTACAACACATTTTTGGAAAAGTATTTACAATTGCTATTTTCTTTTAGAATGATATTGTATATGTGGTTTCATTAAAAAAGTGTATAATATAATTTATAATAAACATATGTGAACTAGCATTAGAAATTGATCAACATGGGACATTAATGAGAACATATATTATTCTATGTTTCTTTTTCAGAAGGGCACTATGCTGTGTTTATATTCTGAGATTACTAATGGAAGAACGGTATTCATTGGGGTCAGAGTTAAGCTTGTTGTGATGTATGAGTAATTAAAATAAAAGTAACAAGCACAAAAACACATCCTTTTTTGAAAAAAGGAAATTCTGCCTGGTGATGGTGTAAAGATTAGTGTAAAATATCACTGTAAACTTTACCAAATTCTTATTTATTTAGCAGTCTGATCATGCTAACAAGGAAACGACTAGGGAATTCTGTTTTAAAAGAAATGGCATTATATAGCTTTAAGAAAGCATCAGTCTCAAGTAACTTTAGAAACATATACCACTTTTAGTTATACCATCACTAGGCATTTCCCATTTTAAAAATGGTGTGTTTGAGGCTTGCTACTCACAGAATGTTCAGCTCGAACAAGTCCAACTCTCAACTTATCCTGGAAGCCTCCAGGTAGTTACAAAGGGCAGGAAACCAGAGATGAGCCCTGCCTTTCCCCAGTCAGTCAAAGCTGTTATCTGATAGTTAACAGAAAGCAAGAGAATTTTTGAAGTATAAAAATATTTAAACATCATAACAGGTCCTCTTACCTAACATATCAATGGTAGCTGCTATGATTATGACTGATCTGTGGTAATCATAATCAAAAAGTATATTGAGTACTGTGGCTTGAGAATGTTTCTGTCCTGTGGGAGGAAAAAACAAGAGGAGATTTCAGACTTTTCATACACATCAAATGGCAGATGTTTAAGACCCCGATTCACCAATCACTTAAGTTTTTAGGACCCAGCTCCTCAAAACTTGTTACAGTCTGTATGGTAACACCCATTGTTTCATGTTCTCTGTGTATATAAAATCTCCCCACTATATTTTCCACTGTATGCATCCGATGAAGTGAGCTGTAGCTCATGAAAGCTTATGCTCTAATAAATTTGTTTGTCTCCAAGGTGCCACAAGTACTCTTTTCTTTTTTAGAGATACAGACTAAGACGGCTGCTATTCTAAAAGGTATTTAGACATCCCATTGTCTTTGCATCTAGGTCTAAGTGCTTTGCTAAAGAGGGACAGACTTAAACATACTTTGATGAATAGGGGCCTAAATTATTATGTCTCTTTATTTAGAGTATTCATGATGTATATCGAAGCCTTCAGGAGTTCCAGTCTGCTACCAAAGAGGTTGTTCCTCACACACATAGTCCATTGACTTCAACAGGACTGCTTGTATGACTAAGGGTGCAGGAGTGAGCTTCCTGGGCCTAATTCTGTGAGTCCCTCAATGCCTCCTCCTGAACGCTTCCTGACTGACATCAAATGCTGGGGGGACACTAATGGGAATTGTGGGATCAGCATCCCACAGAAAGCACTCTGCAGGATCAGGACCATACTCTATAGCTGTACTCCATTTGAATCCAATACTACTTTATCCCCCCACCTTACAAACAGCACTAACACAGTCAGAGTCCCACTGAGGCCACTAACATGCTGTGCTAGATAACTGTTTGCAGGATTAGGACCTTATTTTGTGTAGCAGGATTAGGACCTTATTTTGTGTAACATCTTCATACCAACTATGTCCCAACACACTTTTGAGAATGAAAGGCTACAGCAGAGAGGACCCTGGTATAAATTACAGAAAACCATGGTGCAAAGACATGATAGGAGGCCAAATTCTGACCTCATCTTTGTGGTTGCAGCTCTCAAAGCTAATGGTAGCTGCAGATGTGCATGAGAAGGCAGAATCTGGCCCTGTGGTGAATAAATTATAACATTCATACACAAGGCCAGAATCAGAGGGCTAGAGAAACAGATGCAAGTATTTTATGAGTCATATCCACATTACCACTGCCAGACAAACCATAGAATACCAAAGTGGTTATGGGCTAAGCATCAGCCTAGACTTCTAGCCTAAAGGGCCTGATTCAAAGCCCAATGAAATCAATGAGAGTCCTTTAGAACAGCTTTAATTCAATTTCCTGACTTATGTTGATTTACATCAGTCACCATGAAGCTATTTCACACAAGTTTTTCTTGTTTAATTGAAAAAATTACAACAAAAAAGCCACAAAAATCTCTTTTCTTAACAATTAAACACTGTAAATGCTGTATAATCTCACGCCTATTTTTCCTACGGTGAAAGAAAACCAGAAATGAGATCACAGACCCTGCTATTTTAGTAGTTTTTCAACATCGCTCCTGATGTGAAAAATAAATTCATGTTTTTTTCCAATCTGAAAAGCTTTTAGTCTCATTTTCATCCTATTCAACTGAGTAAATTGCTGAAAGAATAAAACATTCTTTCCTGAATGTCCATGGGGTGGGGAAGATGGCTGGCAAACAGAGCTGTCAGCATGAATTTCAGCAGAAGCAAATTGTTTGATATTTGTAATGGAGTATAATAGCTATAATTCCATTTGAACTGTTGCCACTAATAAGCTAATAAAACTATGAGTCAAGACCTAGCCATCCATCAGCCGCATATTTCTTTGTACACTCACTTAATCACAGAGCCAGGTAACTTTAAGTGTTGCTGTTTCTGAAAATGATGAGCCAGAACTGGCATTTTCTCTGCGTTAACAGCAAAAAAAAACCCTACAGCTGCATATCAACTCCTAAGGAGTTTTCTTCAGCATTTAACAGGTGTTTTCACAGACACTCCAATCTTCTTCCAAAATGCAAGCTACTATTTAAATGCACAGAGATCAGAAAACAGTTTGAAAGAGAATACAAAAAAAAAGGTTAAAAAGCAGTGCAATGGAGTGGCATGATTAATATGCCTATATGTAGACAGTAAATTCTTTGGGACAGGGAGCATTTTTTTTTTTTTAAAGTCTTTGAAGAGTGCTATGCTGTGTTCTGGCTGCTATATAAACAAGTAATCATTAAGAATACATACATTGGTTACTTGGCTGTGGGGCTAATGCTGTCTATAACCAGACATCAAAACACTGGTTAGGTAATAACCAAACTGCTTTACTATAAATGGTTTGATGAACACAGATGTAAATATATATCATATGTATTTTCTCAGACCAAGAAAACGAAACAACATTTCTCTTATTCTAGATGGTTTGTTCATGTTCCCAACGAAAGCATCTGATTAGCAAAGATGCTAGGAGGCAATGCAATGCAGCTGACTCCAGAGAAAGTTCTTTGACTGTACTAAAGTTTACCCTCTCAATAGCACACATTCCTCCAACAAACTATGGGTACATTTCTTCTCAAAGGTGAAATTCACCTCTCTGCATACAGCCAACACAACATAGATGGCTCAGGCTCCAGCCCTGGCCTTGTGGCCATGAAAGTCAGTATGTACAGCTTTCCTCTGGGTGTCTTGTTAGAGAAAGGACCCAGAATATCCACAGCTACTCGCTGAAATGCAACCTCAATTATGGGGAGTGGCTGAAGAGGCTTGACCTGGTCTTGGGCTTTCCCAGCCTCTGGCACACCTCATGATACCAGACATAGGTAGAAATGTCTTTGCCGAATTCCCTCCCAGTGGAAGGACTTCCCCAAATGGTCTTTGGTCCTGTTCACCCCAGTGTGGCCACTACGGTGATCGTGGGCTAAGCTCAAGAGCTTTTCCCTATACTTAGTTGGAACTACCAACTGTATTGAGGATGCCAGTCCTCCTTGTGCCCCCCAGAAAGGGTCTCCTTGTGTAAGAGTCCTCCTTCTACAACAAACCTGGACCTATTAGAAGAGCTGAGAGGTAGTGGGTTGCTCTGGGCTGCTGTCCAAGCACCCTTGAGGCTCTCATCCACTTCCTGCTCTGCCTGGAACTTCTCCCTTGATGCTGGAGACATTAGCTCCTCATTGGGTTGTGGACTTGGGCTTGGTCCCACTGGAAGTGATGCTGGTGATGGGGGTGCCTCCGTTGACTGTGAGCCACTCTCCGCTGGTGAAATAGGTGGTATTTCAGGCTCCGGTTGAGCCTCTTGCACCGGTTTAGCTGCTGCTGCAGGTGCAGGCTCCATGGGAACCCTTGGAGCTGGCTCCCCTGACTGTGGTGGGGTTGTAAGCATGGGCTCTGGAGCTGGCTGCTCCGCCCGTTCCAATCCTTGGACTTGTTCTGGCTGGGTCCCAGGAACTGGATATACAACCACCATCATTGACTCTGGTCTGGGGTCTGGTTCCACCACCTCTGACAGGGTCCCCAGGCCTGTGGTATCTGGGGACACAGACTGGGCCCTGGTAGGAGGCTAAGGAATGGAGTTAGGTGTGGAGGCCTGTGTGACGATGCTGCCCGTGGGAGCCAGCTGAGGTCACTCAATTAGATTGAACTGCAAACAGAATGGGGCAGACCAGCCCAAAAGCTGGTGGATATTCCAATACTTAGATTTACCAAGCCAGCACAAAACAGCTTCTATATTACCTCACTGGTTACTCAGAAGTCCAAATAATGCAGTTCCCTTAAAGTACCCGGCCACAGGCCTCCATCCAGACACACGTCAGATATGATGATGATTACTGAAAATCTTATCATATAAAGGAAAAGGTTCTTCCAATCCCAAAGGATCAGCCACACACTCAGGTCCAATTACAACTTAGATCTTACCCAAAATACACGCTTAAGTCATTTCTTGTTAACTAAACTAAAAATTAAAAAAGAAAAGAGAGTTGGTTGAAAGATCAGTATCCATACAGACTTGAATTCAATTCCTTGAGGTTCAGATACACAGCAGAGACAAGTCTGTAGTTGCTAAACTTCTTTTTAGAAATAGTCCAGAGGTTATAGTCCAATGTCCATATTCAGGGTGACTCCAGTCAGTGACTCGGGATCTCAATCCTTATGGCTCAGGGTTTCCCCTTCTTGAAACCCAAAGCAGATCTGAGATGAAGAAGGATCGTGTCCTAGGTGTTTTATACATTTCCAGCAGCCTTTTGGCCTGAGAAAACAATAGGCTTAACTTTCCTTCTCCTAAGAATCATGGATAAATTACCCAGTGCTAATTGCCATTAAGCAGTTTAGATACAGTTTACCACAACCTTCAAAGAGACATATAGACAATAATATCAATCTCATGAAGAAACTTGCACAAGTACAGAATCCCTAGCCTGATTCTTGCTTGCATATTTATACCTGCCTCTGGAAATTTCCACTACATGCGTCCGACGAAGTGGGTATTCACCCACGAAAGCTTGTGCTCCAATACGTCTGTTAGTCTATAAGGTACCACAGGACTCTTACTCTGGATCTGTAAAAGCGGCAAACCACTTCACCTAATACCACCCTCTGGTTCCTAAATGTTAATACTCCTTTGCTGATCTTTGAATCAAAGCTATAGTAATAGACAAGACTTGTTTGTCTACATCACAAGACCTGAACAAACATCTACCCTTCTTCCTCTAATAATGCAGGCTTGCATTTCAAAGCTCTATTCATTTAGATATCTTCCTAACCAGTCTTTAAAGTTCGGCCATGGGTCAGGTCAGTCTGAGTTAATTAACTCTTTCTGGCCCTGTCACCTTTCAATGAAATATTACATTACCTCATAAAATCACAGTCTCTTTAGCCTGGCTATGGGTGACCATCCCCACCCTTTTCTTTGGCCTCACATGGTTGGCCATGTCTTCTCCCAGCAGCATGGGAATAGGATAATTGTCATAGACAGCAAAAGTCCATATTCCTGACCAACGCTTGTACTGGACAGACAACTTGGCTGTAGGCAAGTCAAAAAAGTTGGCCTTA